GCAATTTCTTTTGCCACAAGTGGCGTAACAATAGAGCTTGCCCTTGCTCCGCAAAATGCGGACGTGCTAAGTAAGAAAGAAACTATAAAAGAGGCACATATAAGCTTCAGCTCTTTTGACCACATAACAAGAAAAGTGGTGAGATGTGATTTGGTGATTATTATTTTGTACTATTTGGTATTGTCTCCTCTCCTTTTATTGCAGTTGCATCTCATTGTGTTAAATTTTATGTTTTCTCTTAGGTTACTCAATTCACCACCTAAAGACCTCACAATAAAGGTGGGAAAAAATATTAAATAAGTTCCTTCAATAAGTCAGCAGCCTCGCTTTAGTACACAGTGTGTTCTTACGGTGTCTAAATTTATTCTGTGACCTTTGAAATGGAACCTATGCGACTATTAATATGAAGGAATCCATAACTCAAGATTTGACAAGATATCAACACTATTTCATGTACCGAGCATTTCAGTATAGTTATAGTTAGTTGTCTACTCACGTTGGAGATCACTTTGGGTCTTTATGCCAATGCAATCCAAAATATGTTCCATGTCCTGTTGGAACATGGGAACTTTTGGAAGGATGGCTTGATTTCCAACTTCCTTCCCCACAAATTTCACAAGGGTTGCTCCTAGCTCTGGGGGCTGTTTTGCAGGGCTGGGGTGATTATTTGAGGTTTGCTGCAACAAAAAAAAGAGTGTGCTGTCATGTCCCTTTATGTACTTGTAATTTTTGTACCATGCCAACCCATTACTTTTTTATCACTAATATCTCTTTGTTCCTTAATGTAGTCTGTCTGTCCACCTCTCAGTCCTTGAAAAAGAGGCCTACTCGACTTTTTCCAAAATGAATGGAGGCAAGACCATTTGTCGTAAAGAGAAGATTACAAATGTCCCGCAAGTTTGCAGTTGCGTCTAATACAATGTATTTTTTACACTTCTTGTTGATTGATAAGAACTATTAATACCACTACTTGAGATGAACACTTACCCACATGCAAAGTCCTCGGTAGATGTTGTTTATAATCCTTGAGAACGTAAATCCAGCTCTGCAGAGGCACACAGACAATGCCTTTGTGTCCATTTCCTTCAAAGAAAATTGTAGCTCTGTCCCCGGATGTTGAAGTCGAAACCACTGTAAATACAGCCTTCGTGCATCTATAATGCTTTTGAGCTAGAAATGAAAGAGAGAAATGCCGATCTTAACGGCATATTTTCAATAAAAAATTAGTGAGAACCCCCAACTGGGTTTTCGTTTGAGTCCCGTTTGAAGAAAATTGCGGGTATAGATTATGTGCCCATATTAATGATCATACATCTTCTCTGCCCTCTGGTAATCGTTGGCGCCAGATGTAGAGCTCAGGTGGGCGGCAAAGTTCACCGAAAGGTTACCCTCCGCAATGTGCAGTGCGTTGAAGATATCACCTGCTGGTGCCACTTCTGTTGGAACATGAACATGCTCAGACTTGTCCGTTTAAAATGCGGAAGTACATAAATTATATGAGGGGATAAAAAAGTTAATGTAAAAATAATGGGTTATTTGAACAGAAATAAAAATTACATAATACAAGTAATAACCACTCATTTTTGCCGTACCTCTTCCACCTTCGGCCATGGCTTGGCGTAACTAGGATGACAGTTCGTCCGTGTCTTTTGAGTGCCTTTAAGTAGCAAATTTTTAGCGTCCAGCGCATTTTTCCCGCCATTTTCTGGCGTGCAGGTGATTTCCCTGAGGGTTCGAGTTGTCGGGAGTCGACTGTGGATGAAAGCGGCGGGAAACCGTACCGTACCGGCCATGGAAATTAAGAAAGTTAGAAAGGGCACGAGGTAGGCGGAGAAGGCGTGAAAATTGGTCAGAAAAGGGGTTGACCCAACGGTTTTCATGCCAGCAACACCATGGTCCCAGCACAAAAAAAGCTGTTCGTGAGAGAGATTAAGGGAAAGGATTTAAGAAGAAGGTCTTTGAACAGTCACATTCGAAAAATAAGTAAAGAATACGCCAGTAAAGAGGTCAAACCCTTTTGAATAAAATACGAAATAACGGATAGGAATCTTGCCGCAGAACGGGTGTTTCAGGATTGTAGAAAAATATGATACGGCATACTGATCCTTACGGCAATTTCCTTCAATAAGTCAGCAGCCTCGCTTTAGTACACAGTGTGTTCTTACGGTGTCTAAATTTATTCTGTGACCTTTGAAATGGAACCTATGCGACTATTAATATGAAGGAATCCATAACTCAAGATTTGACCAGGATATCAACACTATTTCATGTACCGAGCATTTCAGTATAGTTATAGTTAGTTGTCTACTCACGTTGGAGATCACTCTGCGTCTTTATGCCAACGCAATCCAAAATATGTTCCATGTCCTGTTGGAACATGGGAACTTTTGGAAGGATGGCTTGATCTCCAACTTCCTTCCTTACAAATTTAACAAGGGTTGCTCCTAGCTCTGGGAACATTTTTGCAGGGCTGGGTTGGTTATTTGAGGTTTGCTGCAACAAAAAAAAGAGTGTCCTGTCATGTCCCTTTATGTACTTGTAATTTTTGTACCATGCCAACCCATTACTTTTTTATCACTAATATCTGTTTGTTCCTTAATGCAGTCCGTCTGTCCACCTCTCAGTCCTTGGAAAAGAGGCCTACTGGACTTTTTCCAAAATGAATGGAGGCAAGACCATTTGTCGTAAAGAGAAGATTACAAATGTCCCCCAAGTTTACAGTTGCGTCTACTACAATGTATTTTTTACACTTCTTGTTGATTGATAAGAATTATTAATACCACTACTTTTATTATTGAGATGAACACTTACCCACATGCAAAGTCCTCGGTAGATGTTGTTTATTATCCTTGAGAAGGTGAACCCAGCTCTGCAGAGGCACACAGAGAATGCTTTTATGTCAATTTCCTTTAAAGGGAACTGTACCTCTGTCCCCGGATGTTGGAGGGGAAACCACTGTAAAAACAGCCTCCGTGCATCTATAATGCTTTTGAGCTGAAAATGAAAGAGAGAAATACCGATGTTAAACGGCATATTTTCAATTAAAAAATTAGTGAGAACACTCAATTGGTTTTTCATTTGAGTCCCGTTTGAAGAAAATTGCGGGTATAGAGTATGTGCCCATATTAATGATCATTTTTCAGTATTTCCAAAGATGAAGGGGTTAGATTATCAAAAAAATTGTTTGAAGGTCGCAGGGGGTATGAATTTTTCACATTTAGGACTTTTGAAAAGTGTATTCAAGGACTTACCGTCCCTGGGGCCAACGACTCGAGATACATCTTCTCTGCCCGCTGGTAATCGTTGGCGCCAGATGTAGAACTGAGGTGGGCGGCAAAGTTCGCCGAAAGGTTGCCCTCTGCAATGTTTAGCGTGTTGAAGATATCACCTGCTGGTGCCACTTCTGTTGGAAAATGAACATGCTCAGACTTGCCCGTTTAAAATGCGGAAGTACATAAATTATATGAGGTGATAAAAAAATTAACGGTAAAATAATGGGATATTCTAACAGAAATAAAAATTAAATAAGACTACTAATTACGACTCATTTTTGCCGTACCTCTTCGACCTTCGGCCATGGCTGCGTAACTAGGAGGACAGGTCGTCCGTGTCTCCTGAGTGCCTTTAAGTAGCAAATTTTTAGCGTCCAGCGCATTTTTCCCGCCATTTTCTGGCGTGCAGGTGATTTCCCTGAGGGTTCGAGTTGTCGGGAGTCGACTGTGGATGAAAGCGGCGGGAAACCGTACCGTACCGGCCATGGAAATTAAGAAAGTTAGAAAGGGCACGAGGTAGGCGGAGAAGGCGTGAAAATTGGTCAGAAAAGGGGTTGACCCAACGGTTTTCATGCCAGCAACACCATGGTCCCAGCACAAAAAAAGCTGTTCGTGAGAGAGATTAAGGGAAAGGATTTAAGAAGAAGGTCTTTGAACAGTCACATTCGAAAAATAAGTAAAGAATACGCCAGTAAAGAGGTCAAACCCTTTTGAATAAAATACGAAATAACGGATAGGAATCTTGCCGCAGAACGGGTGTTTCAGGATTGTAGAAAAATATGATACGGCATACTGATCCTTACGGCAAGGCGATGAACAAGTAAACAAAAGAATAAAACAAAAAATGTATATTTAAACAAATTGTATATGTTTTAGGATTGCAGGAGTAAATATTAATATTGAATTAATGTTATGGAGGAGAAACATCACGAGACGCCTATACACTCGCGGGAGAGAACATCTTAATGCTCTGGTCCCATACAGTTGTTTAAGTGTAAATGTCTGAGAAAGTTTTCCAGGGACCAAAAGTTGTAGTCAACCGATTTGGCTGAAACTTGGCACAGAAATTGGGTGTGATGAGATATTTCAAAAGCCACTTTGGCTCACTTTTAGTTTTGGAGTTTCAGGGGGGGTCTCATGTTTTGCCCTTTAAGCACCAAAAATCCAGCTTTCCATGGGCCATTTTGAAAGTGCCATAAAACCCCACTGTTAAATTGTGCTACCAAATGACTTTGACCATGAACTTTACTATAACAGAGCTTTCAGTTCATGCATGTAACTTTGTCCTGAAGGTATTGGACAGAGAGGAGCCTGGGAGTAGAGTTTGGGCAAAATTGATGTTAAAATTACAACCCAAAATTGCTATTTTTCAAAATTTCAGTTTATTCACCTGCCTTCTTGCATAACTTCCATACCTATACCACTGTTTACTTTAGTCACCCAATTATCAAAATCAGTTGAGAAAAATTTGGCTTGTCATGGTTTATTGAATTTTTGAGCATAATTTATGTGATAAACAAACCAAATTGTTGTCAAGAAGCCCTTATTCCGTATTTGGTAAGTGAAAATGAATTTTAAAGCCAAATAAGTTTAGTTGTTTAAAAATAAACTGACTCTTACCTATAACATAGATCAAAAACAGGCCTCTGATTAGCACAATAAGCACATGATTTAGCAAAACAAAGGTGATTTTTTTTTCTTTGAAAACCTAGTAACCATCATAGAACACAAATGATAGATATAACGATCTTTATTCAAGATGCTTAAATTTTCTTTGATTTATATTCAGTTTCACGTCATGATTTCTACGCATTACTCTAAGCATGGATAGTCTCCATATTTTGCTAGGCCCATTTTTTACATTTTTACTAGATAAAGTTAGCTTAACAAAAACGTTCGTTAACATATAATTTTCGTCTGACCTTTTAGTAGCCTGAATAGCTGCTGTAAAAACCAATCAGCAAAGGAGCATGACCATACATACATATTTTGATTATACGAACTTCAGTGACAGTGTCCAGGTGACCTCTGATTTTCCGAGTCCTTTAGAGCTGAAAAAATGAAATCATTCATCTACAGTTAGGAAAGCTTTTGTTGCTTTTTTAAAGAAAATAACCCAAACAAAGCCTTGCATTGAGATGATGCGATTGTTATTATTTCTAGAAAGAGATCTGTTTCAGGATAATTTTATGATGGCACACTTTATTCTCTTTTTCGGGTTTTTTAATATAGTGCACAGTACTTCTTATATGTTTAGCCTAAATGCCTTTTTGCTTTCCTTTGTCTTATGGCTTCGCTTATTTGCTTTGCTGACCGCGCAGCGATGGCGAATGAGACTGGTGTGTATTCGGAGAGTTTTGTTTCATTATTTTTGTACCTTTTTTGCTATTTAATTTTTTGTTGCTTCACTTTTTTGGCCCCCTTCATTTACCCACACCCACGAAATTTACCCACGACCCACAACATTTAGCTTCACTCGGAGCTATTAGACTCATCATGGGGAATATTTCTATATTTGGCCACTACAGCCCAGTACAAGCCTATTTTATAGGCGTCTAGTTCTTTCTGTTTCTTCCTGGGATGAGTGAGTCACCTCTTGTCTGTTATGCCTATGGGCGCAGTTAATAATGCGTGGTTACCAAGCTAATTTCCTCGGAGAGCCGGCTAAAGACTGAAGCTAATATAGAAATATAAGCTACAACGTGACTACCATTGTTTTCAACAATCAATGATACCAGGAATGGGCTCATTTATCATTTTTCTATTGCTTTTCGTGTCTTCTGTAAATGGAATTGAATACTCCCACACTGAATTGTTGGATGGTGAAGCTTATAAAGCACACTGGAGGTTCAATAATGAAACAGCAACATTTTATTTCAAAGTTGAAGTAAACGCCACTGGGTGGCTTGGATTTGGAGTGTCAAAGCTTTTGTTTCCACCGTTTGAGGGACTTCAGTGGAATAGGAACTCAATGGATCATTATGATGTTATTGTCGGGGGAGTGGACAGTGGAACAGAGTATTATAAGGCTAGTATTGTAGACAGAGCTGTAGTGGAGTTTTGTCAACTACTTTAATCCGTTTAAATTTGATATTAGACTTATCTAGTAGCTTATTCATAATTTATGTGATTGTGTACTTCCCGGAACCAAGTTTAAATTATCTTCTCACTGAAATGTCGGAAAATTACATGGGCCAAACTTTCCCCTTCATATGTGTATACGGTCACGTACTATTTTATAACAATTTCATATTGAAAATTTTCTAAAATTATACATATAAGCAAGTGAAAACTAACGCAAAAGAAGTCGAACGTTTCGACGCATGAACGAGGTGCGGGATTGCGGAAAATTAGTTCAGTGCTTATAGGAAGGATATCACAATATCACAAATGACCTATTNACACTATGCTCAGCGCTTCTGTGGTCGATGCGATTTAGACGTCCATAGCTAAGAAGCACAAGTATAACACAAACGTTTTCCTTTTCAAAAGGGTTGGCGATAGGCAGGGGGTCAGCTCGTCGCACGTTCGAGGGGGAGGGGGGGGGGGGGGGGGCGGTCTCCAAAAAAAATTTTTCGACCCTTCGAGCCTCAGTTTGGTCTAAAAATAAGGGGGGCGGGGCCACCAGGTCCTTCCCCTAGATCCGCCACTGCTAATAATTATGAAGCAAAATGGATTCTTTTATCACTTTGGTAGGTCCCATTTTGAATCCTATTTGTGGTTGTAAGTATAGTTTGAAGGCTAGTTGTTAATGTAGCTGTGTACGCAGTGTTACGGTAGGAATAGGAACTTAAATTACAAAAGTGGAAATGTTTTGTTTAGTTTTTAACATGACTTTGCAAATTGTTATCTCCTAGGATTACATGACAGACGGACACGTACACCCTACGCCAGATGCAAAACAGGAGCCTGACTGGAATGTAACAAACCTTACTGAAACTGGTGGCTGGACGGTGATGGAATTTGAGAGGAAGCAGAGTACTAGTGATATTGACGACCATGTTATTGGGGTAGGTACAATTCCCTCTGAAAAAATCTTCACTTGCAAACAATGTTTTGTTGGTATGGGTGAATGTTTTGAATCAACAGGCGTTGTTAGCGCAAAATTAAACCTTTCTTTGCTCTCTAATATTTTACCATAATATTAGTGCCATATCATTTACAGTAATAGTTTGCTCCGTACTGAGTAATAAATCTCTAAATACACCCTAAGTGAATCTTTGCAGCACCTAAATCGCAGTAGCTTTAGATTAAATATAAGAAAATTCTGTCCAACAGTTATAGGATGGTATTATTGGAATGATATTCCTTTATCGATACGTGAAAAGACAACTAAAAAATTGTTTAAAAGAGCACTGTATTACTATTATCTTGCTCAGTATTAATCATCGCCACACCGACCCTCGAATGTTATATATTTTTTTGTGTACTTTTCTTTTTCCTCTCTCATATATCTGTCTGACTTCGTTAAAACTTGGCCACTAGGTTTTCGCCTGGCGCGGGGCGCGGCCTGGCTCCAGGCCAATCCGGTGTCCAAAAAAGTAGGGGGGTTGTCGTCTTGGTCGGTACAGCTGGATAGCCCAGGGACTGCCCTAACAGTTGGTGCAGTTGGTGGGTGGATCAGGCCTGGGGGTCAAAACTAGTGGGGTAGGAAGGGGGCTGTTTTGACACAAGCCCTTCAGCAAGCAGCAGTGTTTAGTAGCGGCTTTGACTGTCAAGTGCCTTGTTCTTAATTTGCCCTAGCTAGCTGAATCAGCCCTCTGCTGAGAATGATTATCATGATAATTGCAGAGCCCAGTGGGAGGCGCAGACAGTCACCCATTGTCCTGGGTGGGGAGGGTCAAAGTCTTGGTACCAAGGACACACTTAGCATAGGACCTGTAGACACTCACTGAAGCTATGTTTACATGAATTCAATCAGATATATTCCATAGTTTATATTCTTCTCTTTTTTGTCTTTTATCCCAAATAAAACTGCAAATTAATCAAAGTGCATGTAATTTGGCCACTTGCACTGAGAGGTCACGTGACCAATGCTTTCTTTAAACAATGACTTGGAATCTTGCTGGTGCCAAAAATAGTTAAAGCATATAAAAATTATCTTACACCCGAAATTTGAGAGGAAACGCATTTAAGGGAAATATTTTATGGCACTTTGATTTTTCAGCAAAGTAGTATGATTTCTACTGGCCGCCATGTTGGAGGGCATACTCTTGCCCTACAACATGGCGGCCAAAACTACTTTTTGCTTATATTTTGTTAAACGTTTGATAATTACGCTCAGATGTGCTGAAAACGTTACCACATCATCTTTTCAACACTTTCCTTGAAGTTTAAGTGCAAAATCTCTGTTCAGAAAGAGGTAATTCATAGTTTTAGAAAGCATACTTTGGTCGCGTGACCAGCTACGAACTTACTCATTTTAAGAAAATGGTGCGGGTTTGAAAAACTAAATTACTGTTATTTTGTTTAAGATATGACCCACTAATCGTTTTTCGAAGGCAAAATCATAAAACTGTTATTTTCATAAAAATGATGTCACGTGACCTCTTAGTGCAAATGGCTTATTAGTATCACTATATCTTGCCCTTCTGCATTTATTATTGCAATTCGATATTTAAATCTTAAGAATAATAGCTTCAAATCAATAATGTACTATAATATAAATGGCTTGTTAAACAAAATAAATGGAGAAAACAAGTAAAATACAAAAATACAAACCTCTAAAAAGAGGCTTTATCTTTCCGCTCCAACGACAGAACTCACTTTCACATTGATACTCTTAGTTATTGAAATGTAGGTTAGTTTTTATAGTACATTTGATATTGAAATTAATTTCTAAATAAATTGTTAGAAGCTTTAGTCTTTATAAAAGGGCTGCGAGAACGTTCTCTGGTCTCTCACAACCATTACTCATGTGTTCCGAGTTCAAAACTGAACGCTTATAAAACAGATTCCTGGTCATTCCTTTTGTCTATCTTTTGGTGTTTGAGCTTCTCACAGAGACAATCTGCTCTTAAACAACGAGGCTTAAATGAAAAACCTGTAGGTGTGCGCTTAAGCAGTGTTTGTTATGTCTACAGCCTGGACGTCGATGGATCGTGTGGTCTTATCATAACTCATCGGATGTCACTGGAAGATTTCTAGGTTGGGAGAAGCATACAGCCTATGGACATTATGTAATTGACTTTCTACCAAGACCTGTCATAACTGAAGGGTCCACTTTAACAGAAAAACCTGTGGTTATAAAAACTGAATCGCCCACTTTCGTGGAAACACCTGTGGTTATTAAAACTGAAATGCCCACTTCAGGAGCTTTGGCTTGCCTTATTGTTTGTAACTTTGATTTTATCATCTTTTTTTATGTGTTTTGGCTGTTTTAACGTAGCGTATGACTAAATGGGTTACTGTAACTGTTTAAAAGCAATATTAAAAAGCGAAAGAAGTAAATTAACTATTAATTTTTCTGCTTCATTTAATTTACAGTAACTCATTTGTGCACAAAATTGACTGGCAAACGTGTTGTCGGAGAAAACTGAACCGACAAATTTTGATCGAACGAACAGTTAAAGTAAATTAGTTTGTGGCAGTTTGAGAGGTTGCACTTTAGGTCGCATAGTTTTAGTGAGTGTTGTTTATTTTTGCTATTTGAGCCCCAAACGTTCAACTGACAAAGCAAAAGTCTTTCAGGTTATGTTCACATTAACTTTGAACAGCAACGGTCCGGGGCGGCACAAGTGAGGGTTTGTTGCACCAGTTTCTAGTTCACACTACTAATATTTTCTTCCATTTCAGTGGGTTCCAAGGTTCGCTCCTACTTATTTACTTCCGCGACGGGCCGAATAGGTGTGCACACTGCTTTAAATCATGGGGCAAAACCTGTTCGATATGTGACGCAGCGCTTTCGAGATTGTAGCGGCGCAGCTTCGCTTCGTTCCAGAAATCGCGCCGCCATAACCGTTCTTACGTGTGAACGGAACCCTATCTGGTATAATTTTCGTGGCGGCTCAAAAGCTATCCAGTAGAGTGTGGACACAGCCTTACTCATTGTCATATGTCACTTTCCAGGCGCTATAAATTATTCCAAAATACACAAATTCAGATGGAAATAGAAAAAAATATGCCAATGTCTTTTCAAGTTTTTCCGAAAGCAGCTGCAGGTTTGTCCATCCTTGTCGCCTTTTTGTTTTCTGTATGGCGTAAACTGCCGCTTTTAAGCTCCCCCTTTAATGGATCGTTTGCACTGTCACGCAACGAAAAAATACATTGGAAACCGTCCAGTGGAAGAAGCCAAGAAAATGAAATGTTATAAAAGACTAATATATAAACCATTTGTCCAAGTCTCTGGTCTTTGTGGCCCACAGTTTCTGAGTTATTTGCCGAAACGTTTCACGCACCTTTCTAGAGCTTTGTATTGATGTACCTTTGTATTGGTGTACCGTTTGGGTGCACCAATATGGCCGCCGGAAGTCAACAAAAGCATGTGGAGTTCACTGTTTCTGTAAAAGCTCTTTCTTTTCACTCGAGAACTAGCATACGTGCGCATAAACATATCTTCTAATACTTGAAATGGTTAAACTGCTGAAAAGGAAGAGGAAAGAGACTTTTTTCCAACGAGACAGCATTCCTATTTGGTGTCACTCACTGTGAAGACTCGGAAGTTCAAAGTACTGTATTTTCGAAATGAAACATGCTACGGGAATGGAAACTTGTACAAAGATTTAATTTTTGTTTATCTTCAACCTCGTGTAAATAAGAATTCGTAAGACCTCGCTATTTTGACTTTCCAATATGATGACGTCACTGTGAAAACAATCTATACCCCTTCCCCCAGTTACTAACCTGCAATCATCCGTGTCCTTCTTCCCTTCCTATTTATATTCACGACTAAGAGACGGGAATGGGTGTGCTCGAGCTTGATACCTCGGACTCACAAATTACGGCAGGTTTATTGTATGTTTCAAGTTGTAGTATTGATTTCTTACCATATGTTTATAAGGATTTATTTCACACTCAGGCTAAACTATTCACGTGCGCCGCCAAAAACCCAATGGGAAAAAATTGGGAACGTATTCCCCAACCGATGCGGTCGCACAACCTCAGGGGGTTAAAGGTAAAAAATCAATCAATTGATGAATAAAGTAAGATATAAAAATAAAAGTTGATAGTTCGAGAGCTGAGATGAATACATTACAACTGTCAAAACCTTAAATACCTAATAACAATAGAGTCAATTAACGCTATAGCGGCTCACGTGCGATCATACCAATAGGAAAGTATTTACATTCTCTGTCACTGCCACTACGTTTAGCTCCACCGAATGTAAATACATTTCCTATTTATATTCACGACTAAGAGACGGGAATGGGTGTGCAGCTCGAACTATGGAGTGGCTTAGAAAACAAACAACGGGAAACAATTACAGTCCAAGAGGCATAGAGACCGCTAATCGGCACTCTAACGAGTCTGCAACGTAGCCATCCTTAGCGTTTTCCGAACGCCATCTACCGTGGTGCTTAAACATTCTATCGCAGATACCACCATTAGCGGCGGTAGATGCACCGCCACTTCTGAAGTTGTGCCAAGAGAAAGACTTAGGATCTAAGCCTACGTCTGCAATCTTCTTCAATAAAACTTCTCTACATCTTGTATAAGACAATTTGGAGCCTGAGCGGGTGGACTGAGAGCCAGACTTGGTTTGAATATTTCCGAACAAATAGTCGTCTCCACCTTGGGAAGACGTCGGTAACGTGAATTTGGCTTGCGATAAATACTTCTCTAAATTACCCCAGGGGCAAAGATCCGTGCCAGACTAGACAATGGGGACAATAGCGCCCTCGCGATATTGATCGGTTTTACTGCTTTCAAAAAAAAAGTTCAAAATAAGTGTCATGCAGCGCTAAATCTTTAAGTTTCAGATTAGCCAATTCATCAAATCTTAAGAACCCCGCAAAGGCCAGTAACGCCATGGCCATGAATCTTGTGTCCACCAAAGATCTAT